ACTCTTATTGCCCAAGCTAGAGTGTAATAGTGCGATCTTGGCTCACTACAACCTCTGCCTCCCGAGTTCAAGCGGTCCTGCCTCAGCCTCCCAAGTAGCTGTGATTACAGGCATGGGCCACCACACCTGGCTAATTTCTTGTATTTTTACTAGAGACAGGGCTTTACTGTGTTAGTCAGCCTGGTCTTGAACTTCTGAAGTCGGGTAATCCACCCGCCCCGACCTCCCAGAGTGCTGGGATTACAGATGTGAGCCACTGCAGCTGGCCGAGAAATCTAATTGATATTTTTAGTATGAATATTACTTTTTGTTCTTCAGCTTCTATATTATAATTTTAAAAACTTTTTGAAAATGTTGGTCAGGCCGGGCATGGTGGCTCATGCCTGTAATTGCAGCACTCTGGTACCCTGAGGCAGGCAGATCACCTGAGATCAGGAGTTCAAGACCAGCCTGGTCAACATGGTAAAACCCCATCTGTACTGAAAATACAAAATTTAGCTGGGCGTGGTGGCAGGCGCCAGGAATCCCAGCTACTCTGGAGGCTGAGGCAGGAAAATGGCTTGAACCCAGGAGGCGGAGTGTGCAGTGAGCTAAGGTCATGCCACTGCCCTCTAGCCTAGGTGACAGAGTGAGACTCCTTTTCCCAAAAAGAAAAAAAAAAAGTTGATCAGATTAGGGTTGGATGTAAGCTTTTTTACTCTGGAGGAGTCTAAATTGGTACAGTAGAGCACCCACCCACCCTCCCCCCACAATCCTGCGTTCTCATGGTCTGCAAATAGGTGGATATACTACAAAAGATAATTTTTTTTATTTTTGTTTTTTGAGACAGAGTCTTGCTCTGTTGCCCAGGCTGGAGTGCAATGGAGTGATCTCAACTCACTGCAACCTCTTCTTCCTGGGTTTGCAACCTCAGCCTCCTAAGTAGCTGGGACTACAGGTGTATGCCACCACGCCCAGCTAATTTTTTTGTATTTTTAATAGAGACAAGATTTCACCATGTTGGCCAGGCTGGTCTCGAACTCCTGGCCTCAAGTGATCTGCCCACCTCAGCTTCCCAAAGTGCTGGGATTACAGGCATGAGCCACTGCACCCAGCTACAATAAGATATTTTAAAGTAGGACACAGAGGCTCATGGTTCAATTGCAGTACTTTGTGAGGCTGAGGCAGGAGGATTGCTTTAAGCCAGATGTTTGAGACCAGCCTTAGCAATAAAGTTAGACACCATCTCTAAAAAAAATTTTTTTTTTTTTTAAATTAGCTAAGTATGGTGGTACGTCCTTGTAGTCCTAGCTACTTGGGGGATTGAGGTGGGAGGATCACTTGAACCTAGGAGATTGAGGCTGCAGTGAACTGTGATTGCATTATTGCACTCCAGCCTGAGTGACAGAGTTGAGACCTTGTCTCAAAAAAAAAAAGACCACATTTACAAAACTTTTATTATTGTATATTGTTATAACTGTTCTATTTTATTATTAGATATTGTTGTTAATTTCTTGCTATGCCTAAGTTATAAATTCAGTTATAAGTTATAAATTAAACTTTTTGATAGCTATGTATGTATAGGAAAAAACATAGCATATAATTAGGGTTCGGTACAGCTGACTGTAACCTCCGCCTCATGAACTTGAGCTCAGGATCCTGGGTTCAAGCAGTCTTCCCCACTCAGCCTCCTGAGTAGCTGGAACTTAAAGTGCATGCTACCACACTCAGCTAATGGTTTAAATTTTTTATAGAGACAGGATCTCACTGTGTTGCCCAGACTAGTCTTGAACTCCTGGTCTCAAGGGATCCTCCTGCCTTGGCTTCCCAAAGTGCTAGGGTTACAGGCATGAGCTGTGTACACAAATTATTAGAATTATTAAGAGTTCAGCAAATTTTCTGCATGCTAAGGTTAATACACAAAAATCAGTTGCATTTCTGTCACCAGCCATTAACTATTAAAATATAGAATTAATAAAAGATACTAAGGCAGTTTAAACTCAGCGTGACTTAACAAGATATTTTAAATTTAAGAAATAAATGTGGCTGGGTGCAGAGGCTCATGCCTGTAATCCCAGCACTTTGGGAGGCTGAGGCAGGTGGATCACTTGAGGTCAGGAGTTCGATACCAGCCTGGCCAACGTGGTAAAACTCCATCTCTACTAAAAATATAAAATATTAGCCATGTGTGGTGGCACGCAACTGTAATCCCAGCTACTCGGGAGGCTGAGGTAGGAGAATCGCTTGAACCCGGGAGACGGAGGTTGCAGTGAGCCGAGATTGTGCCACTGCACTCCAGCCTGGATGACAGAGCGGGACTCTGTCTCAAAAAGAAAAAAAAAAAAAATATTTGGATTTCTTTTTTTTTCTTTTTTTTTTTTTCTTTTTTTTTTTTTTTAACTGCATTTTAAGTTCTGGGGTACATGTGAAGAACATGCAAGATTGTTGCATAGGTACACAGTGTGATTTGCTGTCTTCCTCCCCTTCACCTATATCTGGCATTTCTCCCCATGCTATCTCTCCCCACCCCCCTCATCCCTCCCCCATTTCCCCCCAACAGACCCAGTGTGTAGTGCTAAATATTTGGATTTCTAAATACCAAAAAAAAAAAAAAAAAGGAAAGAGAAGACATGAATGGCTGGTAAATATTACATGACAAGATGTTTAGCCTTATTAGTATCGGGGAAAGCAAACTAAAACCTCAGTGAAGGGTGACGTCAGCGAAAATGGCAGAGTAGGGACTTCTTGGGGTCATCCCTCCATAGAAACACCAAACAAGTTGACAAAAAAAGTCAGAATGAAGCTTATCAGAACTCTGGAAAGATAGTCAAAGGTTTACAGCAGCCAAGCAAATACTTAGCCAGAAGAAAGGGCACTGAAACAAGATAGGAGATCTTTGTAGCATTTTAACTTACCCTAGCCTCACCTCCCTTCCTGGTAAGGCTGCAGTCTTGAAGATGACAGCCTGTGTTCCCCCATGTTGGTGCCTGATTCCAGAGAGAGCAGAGTGGACCCTCTTCCTTCTAAAGGATTGTGTTTGTCTGTTTTGTCCTTTTCCCAAAGGACTGCCACCTGGGGGAAAAAAATTAACAGGGCAAACAATAAGATGTTGGAAGCCTGAGAGGAAAAGCTGTAGAGTGAGTTTTTGTGGAGGAATAGGGGCTTTGAAAAGCTATTGTGATGGGAAACCTAGAAAACCAAGTGCAAGGCTCAGGGCAGTATGCATACTCAGAAAAGACTCAAAAAGGCCATTAGCTTTCACCCCTGGCTTGTCTTTAGGGTCAACATAAGCAGGAAGTGAATGTTAAGGCAGATTTATAAAGGTCCTGGCTAAGTTTTGAAGGAGTGCCCCCAACAGCTAATCAGCAAAGACCTGGGGAGCATTCTGCTTTTCTTTTTCTTTCTTTTTTTTTTTTTTTTTTCCAGTTTATTTGTTTTGGAATGTGGTCTTGCTGTGTTGCTTAGGCTAATATTGAACTTGTAGGTGCAAGCGACCCTCCCACCTCAGCTTCCTGAGTAGCCGGGATTGCCGGCACGTACCACTGCACCCATCTCGTTTTGTTTTGTTTTGTTTGTTTGTTTATAGAGATGGAGTTTGGCTCTTATTGCCCAGACTGAAGTGCAGCAGCCTCTGCTGCCTGGGTTCAAGTGATTCTCCTGCCTCAGCCTCCTGAGTAGCTGGGATTACAGATATGCCCCACCATGCCCGGCTGATTTTTTTATTGTATTAGAGTTAGGGTTTCACCATGTTAGTCAGGATGGTCTTGAACTCCTGACCTCAGGTGATCCTCCCAAAGTGTTGGGATTACAGGTGTGTGCCACTATGCCCAGCCATGTTCAGTTTTCAACAAAAAATTGTGAAGCATGTGAAGAAACTAGAAAATATACCTCATTCACAAGAAAAAATAAATGAACAGAAACTACCATGAGGAAGCACTAATATTGGAATTACTAGACAAAAACTTTAAATCAGCTGTCTTAAGTATACTCAAAGATCTGAAGGACACCAAGGACAAAGAACTTAAAGGAATTCAAGATGATAATGTCTCAACAAATAGAGGATAGTAATAAAGAAATAGCAGTTTTTAAAAGGAAGCAAATATAAATTTTAGAGCTGAAGATTATAATAATTGAAATGAAAAATTCACTAGTGGAGTTCAACAAAAGATATGAGCAGACAGAAGAATTTGTGAACTTGAAGATAGGTCCATTGAAATTAGACAGTTTGAGGAACACAAAAGATTGAAGAAGGCCGGGCGTGGCGGCTCACGCCTTTAATCCCAGCGCTTTGGGAGGCCAGATCATGAGGTCAAGAGATCGAGACCATCCTGGCCAACATGGTGAAACGCCGTCTCTACTAAAAAAAATACAAAAATTAGCTGGTCATGGTGGTGTGCGCCGGTAGTCCCAGCTACTCAGGAGTCTGAGGCAGGAGAATTGTTTGAACCCAGGAGGCGGAGGTTGCAGTGAGCCAAGATCGCGCCACTGCACTCCAGCCTGGCGCCTGGCGACAGAGCAAGACTCTGTCTCAAAAAAAAAAAGATTGAAGAAAAATGAACAGAGCCCAAGAGATGTGTGGGACACCAATATATGTATCATGGAAAGGAGAGGGAAAAAGGTACAGAACACGTGCTTAAGAAGTAATTGCCAAAACCATTTCAAATTTGGCAATACATGAATGTACACATACAAGAAACTCATCTAACACTCAAAAAGGATGAACTCAAAGACATCTATATGAGACATATTATAATTAAAATTTCAGAAGGCAGAGATAAAGAGAATCTTGAAAGAAGCAAGAGAGAGGCAACTTGTTATATATAAGGGATCCTAAATAAGATGAATTTCTGCTGATTTCTTAGTGGAAACCATGGAGGCCAGAAGACCAAAAAGAGAGAAACTCGTATATACCTCTGCAGCAGAAGACACAGTGGCCATTTGTAGTAGCAAAAAACTGTAAACAATCCAGATGTTTATTGATTCATTTTTTTAACATGTGATTTATTTCTGGTCTTTACTAGCTTTGGGGCCATTTGGATCACACGATGATTTTTCAAGATTTTAGACCATTTCTAAGTAGCAGTCCACTGGACCAAGATAATAGAGCCAATGAAAGGGGTCACCAGACTCACACTGACTTCTGGGGAGCAAGGCCTCCACGGCTGCCAGTGGGTCGGAGATACAGATCTCGAGGAAGTACTCGTCCTGACAGATCTCCAGCTATTGAAGGGTGAGTTGTTGTTTAAGTTATTTTTAAGGTAGTTTCAGTGAAGGACAAATTGGTGTAATCTAATCTTTATAAGGTTCTCATACCTACTACTTTGTGGACAAGATGGACATAGAAAGGATGAAAGTGAAGCTAAATTGAATGTTAGTACTCACCCAGTGATAATCTAGAGTGTGAAAAATGTTACAGGTCTGTGGTTAACATTTTCATTAATGTCTCAGATTAATATATAGATGATATGTGCCTTAGTCCATTTTGTGTAGCTATAACAGAATACCTGAGACTGAGTGATTTATAAAAAACAGAGATTCATTTCTTATATTTCTGAAGTCTGGGAAGTCCAAGGTTGAGGGATCCACATCTGGCGAGGGCCTTCTTGCTGTATCATTCCACATTGGAAGGCAAAAGGGCAAGAGAGCATGCATGAGCAGAAAGAAAGGTGCCAAAATCATCCTTTTATTAGGAACTCACTCCACAGTAACTAATCTGCTTCCAAGATAAAGTCATTGATCCACTCATGGGGGATTCATTTCTTAAAGTGCCCACTTTTCAACACTGCTGTGTTGGGGATTAAGTTTCCAACATATGAATTTTTGAGGAAGGTACATTCAAACTATAGCAGCATATTTATCAAAATTTCCAAAGGGTATCACATATATTAGAATTAAATATTTCAGCAGATTGGAGCAGTGGACTTAACATGAAATTTAATCAAGTATCTACTTTTTGTGAAGAAAAGAAAAAAAAAGTAATAGGATAAATATGAAGTCTTGTGACTGTAAAAACATTCATGTAATGAGTGTCTTTTTTTGTGTGGGGCACTGTCCTGGGCACTGGGAACACAGTGGTGAGTCAAATAGATGGTTTTGCTCATGGATCTCATTTAGTTGGAATAATAAATGTTAATTTTAAGTGTTTGCCATATGTATAGGACTGCGCTTCATGCTTTATCTGCTTTATGTTGTTTAATTTGTGTGAAGTAATAGGTGCTATTGCTGTTTTCATTTTATAAAATAATAAACTGAGTCTCAGAGAAATAAAGTAACAGCCACTGGTGGATCCAAGACTTGAATCCAGGGCTATGTGAATCTAGTGTGGCATTGTCTCATACAGTAGCTGCTAGCCACATGTAGCTATGTCAATTTAAATTTAAATTAACCAAAAGTTAATGAAACTAAAAATTCAAAGTACCTTAGTCCCACTAGCTATATTTTGAGTACTCATTGGCCACTTGTAGCTAATAGTTACCATATTTGACAGAACATATTAGAGAAAATTTCCATTATCTTAGAAAGTTCTATTGAACAGTGGTATTCTGGAGCCTACACTCTCCCTCTCCCCCAACACACACCTTCTAGACTTTAACGTTTTACTGTACTTGCTTTATTACTTACCTATTCATCTAACTATTAGTTCATCTTGTTTTGTGCATTTCAAAGTTAGTTGCAGACATCCCTTCATAGAACAAATATAGGATATGGGAAATCTGATTTAATGAGATTGTCTAGGACAAAAATCAGTGAAATCTTAGATTAATAGCTTATGGCACCCAGAGTTAAAGCTACTATATCCTGGCCAAGTGCAGTGGCTCATGTCTAATCCCAGCACTGCGGGAGGCCAAGGCAGGCGGATCACAAGGTCAGGAGATTGAGACCATCCTGGTTAACATGGTGAAACCTCAACTCTACTAAAAGTACAAAAATTAGTTGGACATGGTGGCGTGCACCTGTAGTCAGCTACTCATGAGGCTGAGGCAGGAGAATTGCTTGAACCCGGAGGCAGTGGTTGCAGCGAGCTGAGATTGCACCATTGCACTCCAGCCTGGTGACAGAGCGAGACTCCGTCTAAAAAAAGAAAAAGCTACTATATCCTGTGCCAGTTAAACGGTGTGTAGATCACTTTCCCGTCTCTGTTTGAGATCTCGTTGTTGAATTTCTCAACTACAGTTTATCTAAACTTTTACCTCCTACGTATCTTTTTTTTTTTCCCATTCCACCCACTAAATGGCCAATTTTGGAGCAGTGCTGTGGTTCCCTTTTTCTTGCTCCTCTACCAGGGGATGGTTCAGCACTGCTGGAGAAAAATCACATAAATGTGCCCAGTGGTGCCCCTGCAGATAGCAAGGTACATTTCATCCCTACCAGACTATTGATGCTTTTGGTTAGGCTTTTGTTTTGCATTTCCTGAACAGATATTTTGAATTTTCACTAAATTTCACTCTTCAAATTTCCTATCCAATAGCTGATGCTCGGAAGTTGATTTGTATTCTCCTTTATGAAAATTGGGGCCTTGGACATGAACTTCCCAAGTCCCTGTGCCCAGCTTCTCTGTATCAACAATCATTTATCACTCCAGCCTCCTGAGATGAGGTGTCCTTTCTTTTTTCAAGGCAAGCTATCAGCTCCTGTTCCTGACCTATTCCTTAGCTGTTTCATCTGGGATTTGTATCATCTATCCCTGCTCTCTTTCCCAGTTAATGCCCCTTGGGCACTGTTTTACTCTTTAGCTCTCTGTTTTTCAATCCTGGCTATACATTAGTGTCACTGAGGATATCTTTTTAAAAACTGATACCTGGGCTCCGTCCCCAGGGATTGTGGTTTTATTAGTCTGGATGATTCCAGGCATTGGTAATTTTTAAAAGCTTCTAGAGTTATTATAGCCAGAATTGAGAATCACTGTTCTAGTTACTGCCTAGTAATCTTTTTCCTTTCCTTTTCAATAAATTTTTTTTTTTCAATAAAATTTCTTAAGAGGTGTCTGTGTTTACTTTTTTATCTTTCATTAGTCTTCTACCTACTGTAGTCTGGCCATCCTTTCACTAAAATCTCTGGTGACCTTCTATTAATAATTGCATATCAGTGGATACTTTAAAATTCTTATTGTATAGATCTAGAACCTTTTTGATCTTTTTTCTTCCCCCTTGAATTACCATTTTTTCCTTCTTCTTCTTTATTTATTTTGCAATAGGGTCTTGCTCTGTTGCGCAGGCTGCAATAGGGTGGCATAATCATACCTCAAAGAGCCTCAACCTTCTGGGCTCACACAGTCCTCTTGCCTTAGCCTCCCAAGGAGCTGGGATTAGAGGCATGCACCACCATGCCTGTAATCCTTCACCAGTTTTTAAATTTTTTTGTAGAGATGAGGTCTTACTAGTTTCCCAGGCTGATCTCAAACTTCTGGAAGGATTGCTTGAGTCCAGGAGTTTAAGATCACCCTGGCCATGGCGAGACCCCATCTTTACAAAAAATAAAAAATCGCCTGGCACGGTGGCTCACGCCTATAATCCCAGCACTTTGGGAAGCAGAGGTGGGTGGATCAAGGTCAGGAGTTCAACACCAGCCTGGCCAAGATGGTGAAATATAAAAATATAAAAATTAACCGGGCATGGTAGCAGGCACCTGTAATCCCAGCTACTCAGAAGGCTGAGCCAGGAGAATCGCTTAAACCCGGGAGGTGGAGGTTGCATTGTGCTGAGATTGTGACGGAGCACGACTGTGTCTCAAAAAAAAAAAGAAAAAACTAGAATGTATTGGTTCATATAACTCAAATGGTTGCTAGCTATATCAGACCCAATATCTCTGTTTTCATAACAATTATCTTGTAATGCCCTCTACTATCCTAATTTGAAATTCATTGATGATAAAAGCTATAAAACATAATAAAAATACATATGCATATATATACCATTCTCCAATTAATATAAAGGAAAAATAAAAATAGTATATGCATTTTAATATGTAAATGCCTAGCCGTAAGTATTCTGGGAGACAAAATGAAAAATTAGGTGCTTGCTTCCATGTATAGAACCGTTAAGAAGGTGATAGCTACAAATGCAGACAGTACGAGAGTATTATATTTACAGTTCATCTATCAGAAGCATTTTTGGTACAATGTTATGATTTTTCAAAATGGTGAAGAATGCTTAGGAAATTTCTGGGGTTTGTGGGGAAGCATAAACTTCCCTCAGTTTTCACAGTAGTTATATCCCTGGAAAATTCAGTATATATTAAAAGCAAATGGAAAATAATTTGTGTTTAGAATGGAGCTGGATTTAGTCTCAGTTAATTATAGGTCGTTTTTCACCAAAAGAATGTCCAGGCAAAATGTTCAAAATATGCATGTTGGAGGGCAGTTCTTTGTTGGGCCTGGCCATCCTATTTATTGCAGGGTAGTTACCACTCATTTTTCCTACTTAGTAAATGTGAATGGCACCTACCATTTATTGTGACTAGCAAAACGGCCCCTTCAGATTTCTAAATCACTCCCTAGGAGTGACATTGAGAACCACTGATGTAAATTAAAAGTCTACAGGTGGATCTAGATGGTCAGTCAATATGTTCATCTGTCTGTCATTCTTCATCTCTAAAATCTGCTTTCCTGTGTTATGGTGATTAGATAGCTTTCCCTTTTTTTTTTTTTTTTTGAGGGGGGTTTTTTCATGTTTTACCCCGGGGTGGGCGGGCATGGGCTTTCAGCTCACTGCAACCTCTGCCTCCCAGGTCCAAGTGATTCTTGTGA